CATCCAAAAGCAGACGGTGCTGTCAGTCTACTTGTGGCCCTTTATCAGTACATACCTGCTCAATCATAGAAACACGTAGCTATGTGTGTTAGTGTGTGTGTGTTGGGGGGGGGGGGTTCACTCACATCCTGTTTAAAGACAAATCAATCCCATCATCCTCAGCTACGGCAGGCAGCCGACCTGCCAGGTGTTAAGTGTCACAGGTAAACACACAACAAACATTAGACCCACTCACACAAATACACACACACACTACACTGTACCTCACTGTCAACACATATCAGTTACCGGTTTTGTTATGGACCTATAGACGGGAGGTGCACAGTAACCCTGCGTTAAAGAGGACAGTGTATTTTGTGACCTGGGGCAGAAACACATCATGGCGACCTTGTGTTATTTCTTTTATATTTGTTTCGCCGTCTTTATCTCTCCAGAGTTTCCAATGTTTTAGTGTGAGTGAGTGACTGACTGAGTGAGTGAGTGAGTGACTGAGTGAGTGAGTGAGTGTTGAACCACTGTAACCTGTGTCCGTGTCCATCAGGGATGATCAAGCAGTTTTTGAGGGACGTTGACTGGGGGGAGTTGGATTACCTCATTGTGGACACGCCCCCTGGTACCTCTGATGAGCACCTGTCAATAGTCCAGTACCTCAGCTCCACCCATGTTGATGGAGCGGTCATCATCACCACACCACAGGTACGCCCCCAAACCTACACAAGCACTCACATGATCAAACTGTTTAACCTCTGACAGTCATTACATGAGCTAAAGTAATGAAATGAAAACCGCTCGCAGTCTACGTATGAAACAGAATTACAGAAATGAAACAGAGCTGTTGAAACCAGACGTCATTCCCTCCCCCTGCGCTTCTGCCTCCTTCTTTCCGTCGGCTGTGCTCGTCCTTGTGAGGGGCTCTTCTTTCTTTAGATCTCTTTGTACCTGTACCTCAGTCTGTGTTGTGCCCAGGAGGGAACTGTGGCTCTCACGTGAAAGAAGTTTTGAACAGGTCTCAAAAGCATCCAAGAGAAAAGCTGCTTTCTCATTTATCTTCTTCACTATGGAACAAATCTCAACCACGTGGAGCTGTTAGTTTATCCAGTGGTTTTAATGTGAGAAATGAAAGCGTCTGCTACAGCTGCATTAGATTTCAACCTCTCTACTAAACATGACAGATTTGTGTCTGTATGTGTCTTAATCCTTGTGTTGTGTGATGATTGTATTTCTATATTATTATTCTGTGTTGTCATTTTATCCTGATGTGGACCCATGAGTTAATTACTACTTGAACAGAATATATCACATTATATATCATATATATCAATTACAACAGAAGAAAAACCCAGTAGCAGAAGAAGAGAGGACTCATTTTAGAGGTTCAGTATCCAGCCTACAGGTTGCAGGAGTGGATCTTATTTTATCTCTACTGGAAAACACCTCACTCCCCAACTGCTGCCACTGTCACCAGTCCTCTCTCTGGTCCACAGCTAAATGCAATAAGAAACCAACCACTGTTAAGGGTGTGCACACCGAACAGAGCCAGATTATCATCTTAACACTGTTAGTTGATCTTCTGCTCATGGTTCTAACACAACATTTCCTGATGCTTAAAGAAGTTATTTAAAAAAAGAGTAGAATCACTTCCTCATTCCTTCTGCTATCTCTGAACAAAGACTCACCAGACTCACACAAGGAAATAAGCCAGTCTGTAAACAGAACTTCTGAACTCTTGATATAAAAGAGTTTTCTCAAACTCAAACATTTCAACAATCGAACACCTTTTCTCACGGTAACACTGACGGGCTGAGGTGGGGGAAGGAAAACATTTTAAACGAAAACCTTTGAACTTTCCCCAGTGTTCAACAGTGTCCGTTTCGCTCCACTGTCTTCTGTCCGTCCCTCCTCTCTTCTGTCCCCCTCTCTAGGAGGTGTCGTTGCAGGATGTGCGGAAGGAGATCAGATTTTGTCAGAAGGTCAAGCTGCCAATCATCGGAGTGGTGGAGAACATGAGTGGCTTCGTCTGTCCCAAATGCAAGGTCACTGACGGATGCATGTAACAGCTCAACACATGAGCAATCAAACTGAATAAATATACGTTACCAGTGTGTTCACGAGCTCCTCAGAAGATCCCATACCTGAGTTGTGAAGTCATTGCTCTGATTTTGGTCTGTTCTTGTGCTTTGAAGTCAGAATGTGGAAGACGCATGGAGGCTGTGAACAAAATGTGTTGGAATTTGGAGCATTAAAATCACACCTCCTTTCAATAATTGTATAATGATGAAGAGCATAAAAAGGCACAGGTGTAATCTAACACGCCTCGAGGACGCATGTGGCAGAAACATGCACATCCCGTCAACAACATGTTGACAGGAGCTGGATCAATAAAATATCACTGATGTTTGAAAAGAGAAGATCCTTACACCAACGTTGATCCGTTGAATATTTACCATAATGACCAGTGGCACAAGGCTCTTCCACCTCCTTCAACAGGAGCTTTTATGTGTGTGGATCATCTCTTTTCAACAGGTTTTATATCCACACAGATCCTGTGTCATTTAGTTGGTTAAGAATCTGAAAATCAGTACGTTCACTTTTGTCGTGTCTCTTGCAGAACACGTCACAGATCTTCCCTCCCACCACTGGAGGTGCTGAGCAAATGTGTGCAGATCTAAATCTACCTCTGCTGGGAAAGGTGCCTCTAGACCCGAGGATAGCACGGAGCTGCGACGAGGGCAAATCTTTCCTCAGTGAAGTACCTGACTCTCCTGCTGCTAAAGTCTACCACAGCATTGTGCAGAGTGAGTGCACACACACACACACACACACACACACACACACACACACACACACACACACACACGCTAGACAGTGTCCCATTTTTTATCAACGCTTTCATCATATTGTGGATTTGGATTAATTCCTCATTAAGGAAGTTAAGACGCACCAACATATTTTAGCTTCCAACTAAGTAACACTTTTTTGTTGACTGGGTGTTTTCTTGATGCCCAATTCCAGATTAAATGTGATAAAAGAAGAAGTGCTTACAAAAAACGGGAACCAGTCAAATAAAAGGGAAGATCGATGTTTGCATCAAAATGGTATTACTCTTACAAACTACTTATGGGATTAAATTTGAAGAATCACATGCGGTATGTGCAACAGTTTTCTCACTCTGGGCTTTAACTTGCACACAAAGATTGTAAAAAAACAGAGGTATCTTTGTGTCCTTGTCGTTATCAATAAAAGCACTTCATCGTCCTCATGCTCCTCTCGCCTCTGCTCCGCCAGGTATCCAGGACTACTGCTCCAGTCATGTGACAGAGGAGCAGGGCGCCACCTGAAGACACAGTGTGAAAAAGGAGAAGATCAACATCTATATGTTTATCAAAGCTCGTCCCAGTGTCATCATCAACATCTTTGTTATTCATGACAGTCAGCAGCTTTGATTTTAGTGTGGTGAGCGGGTCAAAGAAGCACTTGGGCTCAATTTTGAATATCGATTCTTGAATTACATGTCGTTCCCACTAAAGATGTAGAACTCTTTAAAAAAAACCAGGTCATGAATAAAAAGTTTCAAATTCAAAATTGGGTCAATAATTCCCCACAACAGCTGGTTATTGTAGTTTATTACTCTAACAGGAGTAAGCAGTACATTTACTCAGCTATGAATTAATACAAATTTGCTGGAGTTAGTATTTACTGCAGCGGAATAGTGTTTGTAGGTTTGACTCTAAATAACCTACAGTGCTTCTGCTGATAGGTTTTAAAGGAACATGTCACCCAGTGCAACACTGTGAGTTTATATACGTGTTTGTAATCATTCGTTTATTAATAGAGCTGTATAACACAGAGGAATAACATTGGTGGAATCTTGAAATGTGCAGTGGTGCAATCATATGACAACACCCCAGTTCTTTAGCAGAATAATAACCTTCCGCAAATACCAGACTGTGTTTGGGGAAGCAAAACCTTTGTGTATTAATTGGAGCAGTTGTGACATTTAACTATGACAACATTTAACTTCGTTTCAGTTAATCAATAGTAAGCACGGAGAGAGAGTTTAATTATTACACAGTGATATTTGGATTTGATCACGTGTAGTTTATCAGTCGACCAGACCCTCTATAAACCAAGCTCAGAGTCGTCAGTATGAAATCTAAGCTGCTCTTTTGATTTTGCTTCCTCAGTGTTTGTCATCATTCCACTTTTCAAATCAGCTGAGTTTTGTGTTGAACCAGCAACCTCTTCCATCCACAGTTACGATTCTGTTGTTCCTCATTTACAGTAAATATTCACATGTCCTTGTTATGAATTATTGTGTAATTACTATGATGATTTCTCAAAACTGCATTGTGTGCATTGGTTTTTCGTGATGTCTGTACACATGTTCACTGATTTATGAAATAAATGACCAAACATGAAATGGCCTCTGGTGATTTTTCTATTAAATTTACTGAGCCTTAACTGCAGGTTTATTTATTGAACCTTGTAAATAATAAAAACACCACTGTTCCATCTTATTGCACCGTACCATTGAGTTAAAATGATGATGCTGGAAATTGTTCTTTTTAGATTTGTGAGTGTGCTTGTTTACGTTGTGAAATCAGCTGTGAGGACGCAAGTCTCAACGTTAAACAGCAGCTTCAGCCACAGTCTGTTCCATGACACAAGTATGACATTCATTTTAAAATAAAGAAATGAAGATTGTATTGCCCGTGAGGATTTGTTGTTCCTTATCAATGTGTTTTCATTATGTTTAGGTGTGATGAGGCTCGATGTCTCACTGAATAACTGCAGCAGAAGCAGCTGTGTAATGTTTCAGTCATTGTCTTCCCGTTATGTTCATGATTTTAACTCCACCTGTCACTAACAGTTAACCTTTGTTCCCTGTACAGGTGTGGTTAGGCTGAAGCCAAACGAAGCGAGGTTAGTTCTGGTTAATCTGTGAGGCAATTGTTTTCTTGATAAACCAGTTCTGGAGACTACATGTCATATCATGTTGATTCGCTCCCATTGACTTGTTAAATTTCTGGCAACTGAAGGATGATTGGTGTTGTATATGTTCATCACTGCAAACAAGTTAATGTGCAGAAATGTAAAATGTTGATGGAGCCAAATGGCCATTAACACCATCGAACCAACCACACGAACACGTCCATCCTTTGACGTGAAAGCCTCGGTCATCTCTAGCAGTAGCTGTCTCTCTTGCTGGACCTCAATCTTCAGGGGAGCGGACATCTCCGTGGCCCAGTTCGATGGGGTTCTGGGCGGAGCTCTGACATGCAAGATCTGCAGGAGGGTTTGGTAGAGGAGGACGGGATCGTCTCAGAGGCCTTGATTCTGCAGCATCTTAGTGAGGGATCATACCTGGGTTTGGAAACCAGGATATGATCGGATAGATTGTATCTCGAGGGCCCACCACCCCCCCGTGTGGTCATCCCAGCCAGGCGAGGGGGTGTGGGCCATGGATAAACACAGCCTCAATCACAGGATCCTGTCACACAAGTGACATGTGGTTAATACATTCACTGAACCAAAGATAAAACAACAGAGGAATGGAGGAAGAAAACAATAATGAGGGGATTTCAGAGGACGAGAAGGAGTGGTTAGAGAAAGTAGAGGAGGCAGCACTGGGACGCATGACGTTCTGCTTCCTTTTATGACTGTGGTGGTATATAATGCCCTGTGAAGTTGGAAGTGAAAACAGCTTAGAGTTGCTTACAGGACGCTGGATTTGTACTCCGACAACATGGAGAAAACAGACTCAAGCTTGACATGGGATCCACGGGGAGCTGCTGACTCACTGAAAGGCCTCTGTTATTCTGCATTTGACTGCAAAACAATGACTGGAGTGAACATGGAGCACTTCAGTGTCTCTGGAGCGGCAGGAAATGCTTCACCTGTTAAGGCCTGCACAGACAACATCTCCCCCACATGTCTCTGTGTCCATTGTGTCGCCGACCGGACAACACACACAACAGATGACCTGATGTGTTGGAAAGGAGATGCACAATGTAGCACGGATGCTGGATTTACAGATTTATTTTTAACCTGCTCTGCAAAGGACTCTCATACTGAAGCACAGGATTACTCGTCTTGCTCAAAAATGGATCAGAGCATGACGTCAGACAACTTAGAACAAGTCTTGAGGACTTCGTTTAACATAGCAGGTTTCCACAAGGATGAGGGGAGAGTGGATTCACTCTGGGGTAAGTTTGTACTCAGTGGGCATCTTACCGTAATTCTACTCTGCTTCAAAAACTATATTATATAAACAGATTTTCTTCTTCCTCATCACTTCTGTAACCTCCAATCTACATGATCTCTGAGGTTGCAGAAATACCATCAAAGCCCTGAGTCTGTGTGCATGTGGGCACCACTGTCCTCAGAGAAAAGCTTTTTGCTGCCCAGGATTTTAAGGTGCTTTCTGAAATCCTTCTCTTGCTTTCGATATCAGCTCCATTATTTCTATGAGATATGTCATGGCTTTAATAACAAATCTAGGCAAACTAGTTGCTTGTGTTACTGCCGGGCTGGGTTTGGTGGTCAGCGTGCACATTACTTTTACTTTCATTTCTGAGTGGTGCAGGATGCAGCTATGTGGAGCCAACAAACAACCACCCTGAAGACTGCATAGCCAAAATACACTGATGATTAACGTGTGATCTGATTGGCTAAGGTCAAAGTCAACAAAGACATCTCTACAGATAATACAGAGGAAATTATAGAAATAATAAAAATTTTATTTCCCTTTATATGATTTTATAATATAAATTCTGCAGGACAAAAGACAAGACCTGCAGTTTATATAGATGTAGAAAAAGAATCTATGATCCTATGCTATGAGTGAGGGCCTCATGACGTCATCTACAAAGTCAGAAAATGTCAGATGGGTGAGTTTGGAATCTGAGCGTGTTGAGGCCAGGGTCAGAGCTCTGATCAAGAAATTGAAGGCATTTTAAAAGGGTGAAGGTTCCACACATGTGGTTGTGACCTTTTTGATTTATTGCATTAACTCTTAAATTAACAGCACAGTCAGCTGTTTGTTTTTTACTGGACCGACCTGCGACTTTTTCTATTGGACAACGTTCATAAAGAGATCCTGCCGCATGTTTGTGTGAATACATATACTTTTGTGTTTTGATGATAATTCAATGTTTTTAAAGGAAATTGTTTGGCGACGGTGCAAGTGCAGAAACTTGTTTGAACTGGAATGAGATAGATGATGAAATTACCTGGCATGGATAAACAGGTGCAGCCGGTACTTTCCATTATCTAACCAAAACTCCCCCGATGACCTTGTCCACACCGAGAGAGACTCAAGGGCAAAAGTGCCACCAAGTAGAACCGACTTTTAAAAAGATAACACTGTTTAACTTGTTACTCATTCGAAACACGACCTGCAGCATTGACAATATAACTTGCTAAACACAACTAAAGGTGCAAATAACATAGTATCCATGTACTTGTATGCTCAGTACTTTTGTCCAGAAAGTAAATAGATAGAAAGGCAAGAACACCTGAGGATCTATAGAATGGCACTGGGTACAGGAAATAACTCCGCCAGGGCCCAGTGTTCCCCTTATCTTCAATCAAGCTGCAACTAATTACACTTGTCCAGACTTATGTAGATCCAGATCTACACCAAAACTTCCTGGATTCTTCTGATACTTACTGCATCCACTGCATCCACCCACCAAGAATCCTGAAAAAAAAAAAAAAAAYYKAAAAAAATGCAGACGAAAACATAATGAAAGAATGGTAAAAGACAATTGATGAAAAAAATACAATGTTTATATTAACAGGGATACATCTACAGTCTGTTTGCAGATTATACTTTTTGTACAATTAAAGTACTAATATGACTTATGTGTTTTCTATATTCATTATTTGCTCCTCTCTGTAAAGTAACTGTTAGCATCATCATCACAGGGGCTTTATTAATAAAATGTATTATTACTATTTTAAAAGTAATAGATGTACTTGAGGGGGGTTGTTGCGTTAGGTGATGGTTTTCACATTCAAAGGTTGTTTGAGGTTTTACTACTTATACTAATCTGACACCGTTTTGCGTCTCTAAGTGCGCCCACAGACGAAGTGAAAGTAAAAGATCATTGCCTGACAGCGCAGAGTGCGCACTGACTGTGGAGTAAGACGGGTCATGTGAGGATAAACTGTGAGAAGTGATCGATGTCCCGGGAGTTTATCTCACAGTGTCTCATCCGCAGGAGTTCAGAGGATCTGTGCATCTTCCAGAGAGGCTGCCCCGGCAGGTAGGACTTATCCAGGCTCTTACGCACCAGCTTGGACACGTTTATCCAAAGTGCGCACGCATGGAAAGGACAAATGTCGGTGGTTCCTCCTGCATCGACATCTATTTGAGAATATTAAGAATTTGAAGTTATTTCATTTAAAGGTGCAGTGTGTAAGATTTAAGTCAAAGATAACTATTGGCATAAATTTAATGTAGAATAATCCTCATGATGTTTTCACGAGTTCATTTCATCTAAATTGTATGAACTGTAGTTTTCTTTACCCCAGAAAAGGCCGTTTATATTCAAATACTCTATATTTACATCGAGGGGACCCTCTCCACGGAGGCTGCCATGTGTTTTACATGAGTCCAGACTGGACAAGCTAAACACCTTTTGAGTTTTTATGAGAATTAAAGGCTACCACTGTTTCTCATGTTTGGAAGGAGAGGGTGAGGTGAGGGGTGTTCAGCTGCAACATGCAACTTCAACACTGGATAAAACAAAATTCTACACACTGTACCTTTAATTTTAATATAAATAATAATATATTTAACTATACGGTCGTTGAGCCGCTGTTTGGACGGCATGTCAGGTGCTCATGGGAGTGTTGTGTGTTTTGGCGACGTTCAGTCATTTTGACAGATGTTTTGTTTACGTTCAGACTTGGTTCATGTGGGTTTAGTGTATTTGTGCTTGTTGGGTGGTAATATTGTGTCTAAGTTCACATGTGTGGTCACCAGGACTGTGGGGTGTTGGGTCTGTGGTGGGGTACAGCCGCTGTTCCTGACAGTTGTGTCATGGTTGTGGTCCGTAAAACAATCAAGCTTACTGTTGCGAAGTGATGAAAAGAAAAGTTCCGAGCTTATCATTGTCTCACGCGTTCGCCGCAATGTGTCATATGAATTCACGCTCCAGACACCAGAAGGCGGGTGATCTCCATTACGCGCGTATTTAACATGGTTCTTAATGTGTGATATATTAACTTGCGCAAATGTTGTGAGGGCTGTGAATGACTCGAGAGGTCTGTTGTAAGGGGAAGTTAGAAACAAGGTATTTTGGGGGACTTCCCGGGGGAGTAAAAGTGAGTCTGCTTTGGCTGCAGACTTCTTACATGTGCGTAAACACGTGTAAACATCGCCACAACTCTCTCCTTCACGATGAGGGCTCGATATTTCTGAGCTTTCTATGCTCTCTTGCAAAGTTTCTGTCGCTGGACAAGTTGCCCGTGGTCATGGGTGTTTGGCTAGTGAATTATTATTACAACAATATTTAACGAACACTTTTCTTAACAAAGTTGCAAAGTGCTTGACTGAAAGAAAGAAAGAAAGAATTGAAATTAAAAGAGCAGCAATCAAAGCATAAGAAAGATGATCAGGTGATTAAACAGAGGGAAATATACACACAAACAATTACATAAAACACACAAAACATTCAGTGAAGATTTGCAATAAAAAATGTTTCAGGAAAATGTAACTCTAATAACAAAGGCCCTGTCACAAGATGTGGTCTGGGTAAAGGCAGAAGTCCACTCACAGATTTACGTGGATGTTCTTATCATCGATCACTTTGAAAGTGATTAAGTAGAATTAAAAGGAAATCAATATTACAGGCAACTGGTGTTTTCATTGGTGCGTTCATGGGTTCATGTTCAATGTGTTCATTTTCTCTGCCTTTTAGCATCACAGCAGCGTTCTGTACAAGTTGGAGTCAGTGGAGCTCCACATTGAGGTTTCTTGCTTGCACAAAATTTGTGGGACCAGTGATTTTTACCCTCAGAGACTCGTTAACAGAACGAACACCTAAATCTAAACCTCTGAGATATTATGTTTCTGTCTGATCTGGCTGAGAGGAAGCTTCTTCATTTTGAACAGCAGTGGGAAACAAATATTAGTGTATTAGCAACAGAACAAAAACCATACTGTGTTGTTTTAAAGTTTGCAAGTTCCTCATCACTGTGGCTTTGTGATTTGCGTGTCATCGAGCCTGGAGTTCCTGCTGATGGATCGAAATAACACGAGCACGCGGTGCACGTCCTTTGATTTGTGAAGTTGGATAAACTTTATCTCTCACACAAACAAAGAGCAAAGCTAAGCAGAGTTGTGAGTCCATGTCCATACTGAGAGATCAGGTTCATTTAATGTTACGCTGTAGACTTCATTCATCCCTTCCTCACCTTTATTCGTTTTCTATCTGTGTGTCGTCAGGTGCCAAGATGCATGAAGCAGATCAGGACCCATTTGACTTTGGAGATCTACCAGGTTAGTCTTTCAGGAATTGGGAGCAGCTCTGCAGAATGCCTCTACAAGAGTCAACACACTGATTAGATGGAAATCTACAGTAGTTTCCCTCATAAAATGACCAGAGCGTCACAAATGCATCAACTTTTTCAGGCCATTAATGAATAAATAAAAGATCGGAGATGCCAGAAATACTAGATGCTCCTGCAGCTTTTTCCTTGTTTAATCCATTATATGATGGTCTCATTAATCTCTTGAGCTTGTACTAAATGATGCAAAATTCACAGTATGCAGCTGTGCCCTTTTTATTTCATCTATTCATCCTGGGAGCTGCACATCTGGATCAGGTGCAGAGTAACAGAGAAGAAGCCCAGATATCAAAACACTGGAGGCCTCAACAACCGGATGAGTTTAGAGTAGTGACCTAAAGCTTGTTCTGCACCTCCTGCTCTCCTCCTGGTCATTCAGGCCTGGTACCTTACTGATGAATCACTGGGACGATGATCTATACTACAACTTAAAACGATTATAAGTGAGAGAAAAGCTGTGTTTAGAGAACACCACCAGACAAAACAATCCCACAGGTGTAAAGTTTTGTGAAATTGAAATGACTTACTCAAATCAAAACTGATTGTGATGATGATTCTTTGTGTTTTAGATGATTTATCAGAATTCCTGAATGACGATTACCTATTCGGTAAGTTGCAAACGAGAACTCATAGTATTTTGACATACACACATAAACAAGTAACAGTATATATATATATATATATATAAGTCAAGGAAGAATTTAAAAGTCAATCCATTGTCTGATTCCCTTTATGCATTCTCTTACCAGACACAGATGTTTTCTTTGGTGATCCGTGGTTTAATTCTGATGAACTCAGCAACTCCAGTAAGAATCTCTTCTCTTTTTATTTTCCAACTACTGATACATGGAAGATAATGGATGATAATAAAGGAGAAACACAAAAGATCCAAACATGGTCATGATAGATGTATTGTAGATCCACAAATTGAAAACTATAGATGAAGAAGTGCAAGTTCAAATCCTCAAAAGTCGGTGAAGCTTCGTCTTTAGGTGAAGTCACACGTATAAGCTGCGTCTGGGTCTTTAGGCACAAGAAACCTGAGGTCTGTTAGACCCCAAACATTGAGGAATTAAAACAGAAGAGTTGAGAAACTATTTATTTCAGTTATAAAATCACGTCAGCCCTAATGTTTCACTTCTGTTTCCAAGTTTTTCGAGACATTTATAGAGAACTCTTCACCGTCATGTTTTTTTTAATAAGAGATCTGTACTGAAATGAGAATAACAACCATTTTTTGTGTCTGCTTCACTGACTCCTTTACTTCCTCCTTCATGCACCTCAGATGATATTGCTGTGCCACCAGAGCCGCCCTGCACAGGCGGCCACCAGCAGCAGCAGGGGCAGACGGACAAATTCTCCAGCAAAGAAAACAAAAGGAGAAAAAGACAGAGAGGTAGACAACGAGTCACTAGAACCTACACTGAAGCTCAGTGTGATTTGGGATTGCAGCTACAAAGATCCTCCAGTCTGAATTACAATATCTTTTTGTTTTTAATTAGATTTTTTTCTTCGGTGTGGCAGATTAACATCCTTTTTGCATGTGTTTCCATGTCTAGTTCCTTGGTCACAGCAATGCACTGATGAGAACAACACACCATCCAGAACAAAAAGACACAGAGCAGCAGGTGACCTACCCAGACTGTTTGGTTTTTAAGGTTTTTATTACATTTAGGCTTCAAAAAAATACTTTATTTGTGATATTTGGTTTAAAATCTTTGACTCTAAATCCCTTATTATTTCCTGTGAAACTGTTGGTTAGAGTTATTTAGTTGAAGTTTTGGTCAGCACAAGGTGAAAGGTCATGAAATGAGCAGAATCTCTGGTTGTGTTTTCAGGCACTGGTGTGGAAGCAGAGCTCAGTCCTGCAGAGACAGTGAACTTACCCACCACTCTGACAAGATTCCTCCAACTCCAACCCCCCATTCATCTCATCACCATCCCAGACCCTAAAGGATATCATGTCATTCAGAATGTGAGGCTCTCTCCTCCGGTCATTAGACTTCGACTCCCCAGTGCAGCTGCTACACCCACATACATATTAGGTGAGTTAAATATGTATTAGAGACTGGGAAACCTTTTTCTATATATTATCTTCATTATCTCATGATTATCTGCTCATTTAATTCACATATGCTGGTACAAGGCTCTAAAACCTGTTTCTAATTTAGTTCCTGAGAGCCAAGTGCAGCCGCTCTCCCCGGGTGAGTGAAAAAATGTTGTGGTTCCACATTTATATCTTAACATGGCAGCCGCTCTCTGCTAACTGCAATGTCCTCTTGTGTTTGCAGTGGATGCTGCAGTAGTGCCAGTCCAAATGAGCTCGTCGCCACCAGGATCTCTGTCGGACACCGCTAGCAAAGCAATGTCTCCCCCTCGTACCCCAATCTCCTCCAGAAGTGTGTACCAGTAGTTTTGTTTCCTCTTCGTGCTGTAGAAGTATTTCTATCGTAAATATTGTGACCTTTTGTATGTTTCAGAGCCGTCCCCATCTAAAGAATCACCATCTCCTCGGTCTCCCACCGTCATTGATATTCCAGGTAAATTCTCACATGGTTTTAATCCTCTCTTCTTAACTGATGGAGCTGCAGCTTGGCATTCAGTTGTTTTTGGTTTCTTTCAGAAAGTGTAAAAGACTACATTCAGAAAGTCAAAGCCCACATGAGTCTAACATGCCCGGCTATAGAGGAGGGCGTTGGTCTGACCTCTCATTATGTGGATATGCAAGTGAGCCAGAGAGAGACTCATCGATCTGGAAAGAACCCAAACAGAAGCCTGGACAAGGAGCTGATCATCACGGGAGATACAGATCGACAAAACAGCTTGTTGGGGCCTCGTCAGGTAAGAGAATCACTTTTATTGGAGAACATGAGGATAAATGACAAAACATCTAGTGACGTGCTTTTATTTAGCTGAAATATACATTTTCAGATTTTTAAAACTGGTAAAACACATTGCTGGAGTCACAGGTTGCAGCTCACTTTCATGTGGTTCTTTTTCCTCTCAGATCTTTGAAGACTCAAATGGACATAACCCCAGACGATACATATTGCTGTTTGGCAATGCAGGAATGGGAAAAACCACCCTGATCAGGAAGCTGTGCCTTGACTGGTCCAGAGACTGCATCCCACAGTTTGACTTTGTCTTCTTATTAGATGGCAAAACACCGGCTTTAAAAAAGTCCATCTATAGCCTTCAGACCCTTTTATTAAACCTCTCCTCCTTTGCAACTTCTTGCACGAACCCAGAGGAAGTGTACGCTCAAATCCTTGCAGCCTCGAAGCGCGTGCTCATCATTTTCGACGGTTTTAACGAGCTCCGAGAATACGAAGTTCTACTCCAGACTCAAGAAAAAGACGTTATGACATCTCTGCAGAAAGACAGTAAAGCGGAGACGTACACAGTAAAACAGCTTTTCTCTGCCATCCTCCAGAGGGTACTTCTTCCAGGATGCACCCTTCTGCTCACTACACGACCAAAGGGCCCTGCCAACCAGCTCCTTCGTCGGGCAGACAGCTTTCTGGAGGTATGTGGCTTTACTCCCACTGATGTCGAAGCATATTTGTCCCAGTACTTCACTGACCCAGCCCTCAGAGCATCTGCTTTGGACTGCTTAAAAAGATGCAGCTATCTACATCTCCTCTGCTGGAATCCTGGACTATGTCGGTTGGTGTGCTTGGTTTTGGAAAATTCCAAAACTTTGGACGTCCTACCAAGAACTTTAACAGGGCTCTGCCATCAAGTGCTTCGTTTGAAAATGGAAAAGCACAGTCAGGGTACAGACTCACAGCCCGACGCTAAAACACAAACATCCCTGAAATCTGAAGAAGAAACTCCAACACAAATCTCAGGTAATAATCAATTGAACATGTGTCACAAAAAGATTCCAGTCCATAAGTCCAAAGCAAGATTTCATACTCGCTCAAGCAACCAAAGAGCGAGGGGGGCAAAAAAGCATTTGACAAAGGACGGGGAGGAGATGGAAAGTATGAGAAGGAAGGAGGATAGAACAGACGAAAGAGTGTTGCTGTCCCAGCTGAGCTCTTTGGCTTGGGAGGGGATCAAGGTAAACTCGTCTATCCTTCCCACCGAGCGACCCTTACCTTTCAAACTCAAGGCTTTTGGCCTTGGGATGGGACTCCTCCTCTGTCACCCCCTGAGGAGGAGGCTGGGAGGAGGAAGAGAGGACGAAAAAGAAATGGAAGGAGGAGAGAAACAAGATGGGACGAAAGACAGAGGGAGAACAGACATTGAAAACGTTGATGGCAGTGATGACCACATCGTACTGTGGGCCAGTCCCTTCCTTCAGAGCTACCTGGCAGGAGTCCACTTGTCTTTGTCTAGGTAAAAAGTATTTATCAGATGTCAAATAGTTTTTCCGTGTTTGTGAAACTTTTTTTCCCTTTCCACTCCTTTCCTGTCATTGTTCTAGCCTGTCTGGATGTCCCTGACTCACTGTCTCCCTCCCCAGGTCTGTAACAGAGCGCACATTCCTCCTGACCCTTCCATTCCAATCAGGTCCAAAGGGGCGTCGGCGAGCTCAAGGAGAGGAATTCCAGCTGACTCAGCGATTTGCAGTCGGCCTCCTCTTCCACAACAGCGCAGAGCTGCAGAGCCTCCACTCATACACTGCGGCATCCTTCAGGGATATGGTGGTCAACAAACAGGCTCAAGTGACAAAACACCTCGAAGGTCTTTCTCACGGTGACCTGAGTCCCGCCCAGGTCCTGGAGGCTTGTCACTATGTTTATGAAGCAAGTTTCACATCATTCGGTGATGGGGGCAGAGGCAGTGGCAGCACACGATTGGACTCTCACCTGGCAGCGAATCTTCCAGACGTCTTGTCATTTCATGGACTTCGACTCAACCCTCCGGATGTGTTCGCTGTGCAGAACATACTTGAAAGGGGTGGAAGTTTCTGCTTGGATCTGGGGGATTCTGGGATTGGGGTTTCTGGACTGAAAGTTCTGGTGGGGCTCAACAACGTCAACTCGTTCAGGTACTGATTCAGTCCACATCTCAAAAATGTGCTTGGTGTTTTCCATTGTCCAGTCACTGCAAAATAAAAATCCTACTAAGATGTGTTTAGCTTTGGATTTCTGCACGTTAGAATTGTTGTACATGAGGTAAAAAGTCATCAACAAAGCCAATGAAAACCTTTGTGTCCTGATTGTTTTATTCCCATTGCAGATTTGTTGTTTTGTCCATTTATTTGGCGTCATAGTCCATCAATACAAATGTCAAACCCTTTGAAACTGACCACCCATCCCGCCACCCACAGGGCGTGCATTGATGATGTCATCACCCTATGGGAGCAGCTGGAGCGCAGTGGTGAGGAGGGGCTCCTACGAGGGGCGGTGTCCAAGTTCAAGATCCACCCTCTGAAAGTCACACAGGTGTGTCATGTGGAGCACCTGGCACAGCTCGTGGACATACATGTGCAGAAGAGGCTGTCGAGCAGGTAGTTCACCACACACACACATACACACATTCACACACACACACACACACACACTTGTACTTCCACTGAAGAGTGTTTTGTTTTTTTGTCTAGTTCCACCGATTCAGATTCCATCTTGGCAGACGGAGTACCAGCTGTCAAAGAGCTACACAAGCTGGAGTTTGAGTAAGACATGACATTTGAGTGCATGATGATGATGGTGATGATGATGATGACGATGATGATGACGACGACGACGATGATGATGATGATGATGTGTGTCCCTCTAGGCTTGGCCCAGACAAAGGTCCCCTGGGTCTCTCTAAGCTGTGGGAGCTCCTGCCAGCTCTACCTAACCTCCAGCACTTACAGTAAATATACACTCTCACCCCCTCTGTGCATCCATCTCTTTGTGTTTGTGTGTTTGTTGTGTCTGACTGCCGCTCTCTCTCTCTCTTTCTTTCCTCCTTCAGTCTCGAGAACAGTAAGATAGGGGACAAAGGATCAGAGAGGTTGGCCGAGGCTTTAGAGTCACTCTGTTCTCTGGAGATACTGAAGTGAGTACAACTTCTCATTATATAAAAAGCTCAATATTTGACCTCACAATTTAAAAAAAGAATCATTGAGTTTTTAAATTAGTAAGACCTTTATGTATGTGTGTGAAACTGAAATTTTTTTTCTCTCCCTCTGGTTTCTAGTCTGTCACAGAACTGCATCGGAGACCACGGGGTGAAGAAACTGACAACCACACTGGAGTATTTACCAAACCTGCGCTGTTTAAGGTACATGATGCAAACACACACATTGATCTGCTGCACCTACACAACAATAACCACACTGACACACACAGAATTTCACTTCCCTCTTCTGCCCTCTTTTATTCCAGTCTTTACAGTAACATGATTTCTGACGAAGGGGCAGAGAGTTTAGCAGCTGTCCTCCCACACATGGCGTCTCTCACTGACTTGGAGTAAGTTTACTCACCCCACGTTTTCTTTAGACGTTTACGGCAACTGTGTGTATTCATAGAGAGGCATCCTTCCCTTCAACAAAGGCTCAGAGGAGTGGATCTTTCTCTGGGTTTCGATATCCCAGAAGTAATTGCGCTTCAGTGTCAAACAGTTTTTCAAAGAGATAATGGCAGCGGCAAGCGATGATGCTTACACTTTAAAATGTAAGTATCACCATTAACATGTGTTTTGTTCGACAGTGTGAAGTACAACAAGCTGTCGGACGTCGGAGCACAGAGACTCGGAGCCAGTCTGAGAAACTGTCAAAAAATGAAGACTTTAAGGTGAGAGGTCCTCGTTTCAGTCCTTATCATGTTCTGATACTTAGAATAAATATATTGATTTTTTCTCACCTTATTTCTTTTGCTCCTCACCCCAGGATGTGGAACCAGTGGATTCCGTATGGAGTGTTTGAGCGTCTTCAGCAGCAAGACGGTCGCATCCTCTGGCATTAACCACTAACCATGAAACCTCTGTGTGACAAGGCTGTGAGTTTTCTGTTATGCATCCACACTATAAACATATTTCTGCTGCTTTATTAAGAAACTCATGTCCTTCGTAAGATGACGTTAAGTCTGAGAAGGAATTTATTATTACACAATCCTGCAGCTATGAAGCACATTTGCACCTTGATGTTTGTCTAGTTTTTTATATCAAATACTGTATGATTGTCTTCTGATATCGTTGCCTAAATGTTGTAAAGAGCTGCGTTTTTACTATTTGCGTAAATTATATATTTGTTGATACTCTGTGGCTGTAAAATATAAATAACTTGACAATCATCTGACACTTGAATTCAAATTTAGTATTTCTGTTGTCTTCTTTTTCAAAGTATTTGAATGAAAGAATGAATGCACTAAAATGGAAATTCAGTATGAGGCTCATTTGATTTGGTCTCTTTTGTAAATGTTGCTGCTCTTTAGATTTATTTTATGGTGGTAATTGTTTTATAGGAAACAAGCAGCTGTCATGAACTACTGCTCTTCACTTGTTTATATGAACCCTGTGCGAATTTACAATTGCAACAGTTTCAATAAACAATATTTGTTTAATGTGTAAATGACTTTAATACAAAGGTAAAATCTGTTTTTGTTTCTGTTTTTCACTGGGTGTGAAACGTCATTAAATGTCATGGCTGCATGACTCGCGTCTGTGGGATGGTTATATATCATATCAGCTGTCAATCACAGACATTTAATAAAGAACATCTTCTTTATACAAATCTAAAAACATCTCATCATCCTCCTGTTTGAGGTTTTTCCATTAACAAGCTGATGTTGCTCTCTGGTGCCCTCTTCTGGACAAAAGCTAACTGGACAACAACATGGCTGCTAGTCAACAGTTAAATCTACTTCGAAAACATCACTAATCCAAAAAGAAAGAAGGAGGCAAAAAGCTGGCATTCGCTCAGTTTATTAAACAGACACCTTGACAAAATTCAACTCTGCTATGATCCATTGCTTCTTATAGCAGGTGCATGTCTGCAGATGTGGAGGGAGGGAACAAGCACTGGTTGTGTTTGGATGATGATGATGATGATGATGATGATGATGATGAAGGAGGCATCCAACAAACTGAGCAAAGGCTTTGAGCTTTCACAGTCCTGATTGATAAATTCAACACTGAGAACATGTGTTCACCAGAGCCTGGACGACACAGCGTGGTATCATGGCACAATCTGTCTTTCACCTGTTAGTTACTATCACCGGTGATTTATAAACACTTTCAGAAAACAGGAATCCTTCCCATCTTCACTTGCTGATTCCTCAGTCGAGGGAGTGACTTCTAGATTCTACTCACTCATCTACTGAAAATACATATTAATTTAACAAAAATACATTATTGGACTGTTAGTGTCGCCCATTTCCAGCATGATGGAGATTGATTAAATACTTTAAGTTTTCATTAGATATTTACTATTTAAGCCTGTACCTGATTCTATCTGAGCAGATTCCATAAACATGTGTTTTTAATATCTAAAGAATATTGGTATCCTGAGCCTTAGTGTCGGGTTTCTGAAGGATTTTCATCTTTTATCCAAAAAATAGAATTCATATGGACATACTGATGGACGGGCATATTAAAATATTGCAAATGTAACCATACATTGTATATTGCTTAATGGCAAACAATCCAAAAAGAAAAATAATCATTTGGTTATTAGCCATCAGTTATTCGTACCAGTTGATCTTGCATGGAATAATTATTCTGCAAAATCTTGCAGCACTCTCATCCATTTATTTACATCCCTGTTTGTGATTTCCACCTAGTTTTTTTCTTTTAATTCATTGCACAGTGTAGCAGCAAACAATTCACCTGGCTACGTTTAGTGTATCATTTGAGCCAAGTCTGCAATCTGAACAGATGAGGTGAGAACAGCAGAGCAGAGTCATGTTGCTTGAGCACAACATTCAAAACACCAGCAATGAAAGAATCTGGACTAAAGCTTGGTTAAAAGTATGAGATATGCATGTGCACATATTTTGAATAGGTCTGAAATGGTTGAAATGGTCAGCTGCCAGTAGCGCCATGATGATTATGCACAATTTTGTGAGAAGACACTGTTTCTGCTGTACTGCCAGTCTTGTTAATTCTCTGGGCTTTAAGTGCTCTTCACAGACCAACAGGGCAAACTATCTAGTAAATCCCTTTACGAGCATCACCGCCCAAAGGTGGTTTTCTTCTTTCCTTCAACAATGAAATGTTTGTATGGAATAACTACCTGATTCTGTCCGTAATCTCATTTATTTAACTATTAAACTGCCGCATTGCTTGAATTCAGTTTATTATTGCTGCTGAGGATATACATTTGAACAACTGAATTCTATATTCATAACAAAGTAAGTGCAATAAAACAGAATTCGACAACTAAAATAAACAACACAACCAATATCATGCTTCTGAGTCCTGTGTATTGAACATTGTTTGAACATATGTGTGTGGGACTGAGGATGAACATACCCTTCCTTTAAGTTTGAAGTTTCAGTCCTTGACACTATGATATCATTCTCTGTACCATAGGTAACCAACTGTGATGCTTTCTTCATTACAGTGAAGAGTGAGACACGTGCAGGGTGGTGATCCTGATTCATAAGTGAGCTTAAAGAGTAAAGAGCTCTCTAACAGATACAACCTATAGTTGCACAGCCTGTGTCCAGTGTCACAGTGTCATTGTGCCTAGAATTCCTAACTGTGCTCCTGAGTGTGTACATCCCTGAAGCACACATACAGTATGATTGGCCTCAAACGACACATTTTAAATTATCCTTCAATAATGAGTGAGCCTGCAAAGCAGCAACATGTGTTCTGAAATGTAAAAGAACAAAAGGGTAAAGCAAGTTGTTCTGTGAGTGATGAAGTATGCATCAGATGTACAGTGCACATCGTTTTCTGCACGCTGCCAGTTCCTCTGAGGTGTCTTACTGTGAAGCACGTCACACTGTGACTTTGGTGGCAAGTGTTTCTAATTATTTCCTTCTGCAGTCAGCCACCACACCTTGCACAGCCTGGATAAGTGTTGGGTGTAAATGCCGGGCTGCTGGATCTGGACTGGCAGCGACACAGCCAACCTGAATCATGCTCCACATTTCAGATGAACATTCAGTTTTGTGTGACAGGGAAATGTTGTCTCTCTCAACCTGCAGCACATTCTGCTACCGTATCATCTTTCACTGTGTCCACATCGAAGGACACCGATTCCAACGTGAACTCCTTGATGTCCAGCTAGTTTTGATTGTTTTTAGAATGGCCACAGACCGACTGGCAGCTGATCTGGTGCAGAGTGGTCTTTCCTCGGGACAGTCATGATACAGCCAGATAATCTCTTCCTCTGGCTACCTTCTTTTGAGCCGAGACAACCTGGTGACAAATGGACAAACAATTTCAAAAACGTGTCAGAATTAGATGTATGTAGTATGGGATTTGATTCTTTTCTATATTGAGCTCATTAACTGACATTTTCTTGTCTCATTATATTCTCTATGACATTGTTCTTGTTGTGATGCTGAGCTGACATGTCCTTGTCCAGCACAATTCATTGAACCTGTGTTAAGTTATATATGAGAAATAAAACTTGTTGCTCTCAAAAAATACATATTTCGAGTTTGTCACTTTTTCCCCAAGTACATGAATCACTGTCTTGTGTCACTTATCTCAGTGTGGTATTTAGATCATGAAATAATGAGAAGAGTTTGCTGCTTTGCTTACTTCTTAACTGATGTGTCTGTGTGAGACAAAGGCAAAGGCAGCATCAGATTTGTTCTGCACATCATTGAACAGGAAGAGTTCAGTCTGGTCCTCTGCATCAGGACCACCACGATGACGACCTCCTCCAGGACCACCCCGTCACTCCAGGTATCCCTCGAACACATCCAGCTCCGTGTCCGTGTCGTAGGGGACAGAGGCCGGGTCGGACAGCACCCCGAGGTCCACCAGCGCCTGGTCCATGTCCTCGGGCAGGAACACTATCCCCACGTTCAGGACGATGTACTCCATCAGGAAGGCATAGTAGAGGATCAGGACGTTCACGAAGAACAGGCCCAGATAAAACATATAGGGGAGATCGTCCAGGAGCGATTCCACTGAATCTAGCTGGGCATAAATTTGGTGTGTCATAGAAAAAAAAAGGCAGCCACGGTTTGGGTTCGTCTTGCTGTGCGAGGCCGGGGGGGGGGGGGGGGGGG